TGCTGATTTTTCTTTGGCTTTGAAGTCTTTTGTAAGATATGATTGGTCAACAATTTTTACATCATTTTCATTGGGGTCTATCTGTTGGTTTTTTATATTTTTCTGAGCTGGGATATTTTTATTTCTTTGAGCCAACTCCTCCTGTCTTTTTTGATCAACTGAAGCTTTCCATTTGGAACTAGACTGTAGTATATCAGGTTGGATTGGTTCCTTGTCAACTTCACTTATTCCATTTGGGGATTCATCCAGCCAGCCAGATTCTTTTATTGCAATTTTTGTAGCATTCATTTGCTCTTGATTTGCCCTTCCATATTTTCCAAGTGCTGTATATTTATTTGGAATATTCTCTTCATCATTTTCATAATACTCTGCATCCCCAAAGTGAGCACCATCATATGCATTTAATTCATCAAGATCCAACATTGTCTCATTTGACATCCACTGGGGAAATATTCCTTCTGAATCTCCCTTTTTTTGTTGAGCAGAAAAATCATCTCTAGCATCATTACACTCATATCTAATATTAAAGTTCTGCATATATTGCCTCTGTTGCACTGTGAATTCATAGTCATTGAAGGTTTCATCCCAAGTGTCTTCCTCAGATTTCAGATCATGACCAGTTCTCCAAGGCTTGAATAAAGCAAGCATGGTGGCACAATAATACTCTCTGTCTCCTCTGTCACATCTTGGCAGTGAGCCTCCAACAAAGTTTGGGACAACATTACTTTTTTTCTCATTAAATTGAGCTTGATGTGTTTTATAGAGAGGATGGTCTCTAAGAAATGGGTAGGTTATTCTGTTTTCGCTGACAAATTCATCATCACTATCATCAGCTTCAATACTAGTTGAGTGTTTATTTATATTAAGCTCATCTCCATCATTATCAGAATTATCAGAATCATCAGAATCATCAACTAGTTGTGGTAGTACTTCAGTACTGACTTGCTCAATTTTTTCTAACAAGTCAAGTTCATCATCTGAATCTGTGATTTCATCATGCTCTTGGGAGCTATTGGCTACTTTGCATCTGGCAGACATTTGAACCCATTCATATA